TTCCTACTCATGTACACACTAACTAACTTTTTAGTACTATGTTTCTTCTAATGTACGCTCTACGCTATCTTACCTCTTTTATCTACATTAAACAGCTTTTATAATGCTACGTTTTCTTTGGTGTTAGAAACGATACCGGGTTCGACTAAATAAAAATAATGTTTTATTTGAAAATGTCTTTAACTTGCATAATTATCTATGTCACTATCGTATTTATACACTGTAAGACCAGGTTCCACAGATAGGCTTAACTTAATATGGGAGATCAGCGATAATGTATTTGGTTTGTGAAAAGAAGGATGAGAACCAGTGTTTTATATAACGTATGTGGTGTTATTTCCCACTTGTGTTCATACTGAACTATCTTACCTTTGTATACACACTACACATCGTGTGTAACTCTATCTTCTTTCTATTGCGCACCTTTCTGGTTACCTCTCAAGACATTCCTCCCCCATATAAACACCATACGTACCATATGTTGTATTATTTTCCCCTTACTGTTTATTTTACTACCCTCCACCTCTACTAGTGCATTTATTCTGTCAACTCCAGTGTGAGCATAATCTATACGTAGTGTTTGTAAACCATGCGGTAGCGTAGAAAACAAATGACCTACTTTTAAGTTATCTCTGTACACTTGGAGTTGTTCTATAACCATTAAAGGGACGAGACCCCTTTTCCGCCGAGGGTTGTAAGTTAACAAGTAGAAGAATGTATGAGCAGCCAGCTTAACCCCATTTCCTTCTCCAAATCTTCATCTGATGGAGATATGTGACACTTAAAGAAAGAATATGAGTCTTCTTCAAAACAATTATATGCATGGCAAGAAGCCTATTTCATTAAGCCATCTCGGTTTTCAACTTTATACAAACCCCAAGCTTTAAGAGTGTTAATTTAAAATGCTAATGAACCCTTTCATTATAAAAAAGTGAAGAATTTGTCAGCAAATGTTACAAACAGTCAAGTCTCTGGTTAAAAGCTTTCTCTTTTAGTGGTAAAAAACATTATATTAAAAAGTAATGTATGTCATAAAAAAACAACACTTGCTGTAATAATAAATGGTTACTTATGTTATCCAATTGACTTTCTTAATGAAAAGTTCTTGGTCGTTAGGCTAAAAATTGTCTAAAACATCGCAATAGAATAGTTTAAAATGTTCAGTACTTCATTTTTTATTAATCAAATACAATTTCAGTCTATTTTTATTTAGGCATATCTTGGATCAGTAGCAAGATACATATAATTCTACGGTTGACGGTAATATAAAGTTTGTATATCATAACACGCTTGGTCTTATCTATGTAAGGCCACAATCGTGAGTAAATCTGATAAGATTTTTATTTTTTTTACTGTAGTCTGTAAAACAATACCGTAATTAAAATAAGCATAAACTACTTAGCATATTTAGTAGAAGACGATATAGGAATTACACGTAAACAGTCGAGTAAAAATTAACATTTGTATTCAACAGACCTTTTCACGAATGTTTAGGGCCAGAAGTTTGTCAATTCAAAACTCAAACATTTCGTATTGCAAACAAATATCTCGGTCAGAAACTGACGTTTAAGTCTTGGAAACCCACCAGTGTTAAGTAGAAAATCCAGTAGATGATAAAGCAGATCCTCCTCAGCAGGGGTCAGCGTTGTCGCTAGCCTTTTTCAGCCACCTTACAAAAGACATCCTGGATGACTGCCTTTCATGCGGTCAGCACAGGTTTGCTTCCCCTGTCTGTTTTATTTTCTCCTGCTTCACTTATAAAAAAGAACAAAATTTTCCTTATACTCTTTCTTATAGTTAAGCCTAGTCACACAAGAAACCGACATGTTCACGTTACAACCTAGTCAACCAATAATAAATAGCCTTACAACCATTATTTAGATTTTTATCAATTTACGACCAATAGCTGGCAATCTTACAACAGTTACTAAGATTTAGATCATTTTGTGGTTGATTCGCTTGAAGTACTTTTAACGTTAAATTTCTCAGGTGTTTGTTGAAACGGATAACTACAGACTTGTAAGCCTGTACACGATACTCTCACAAACATAATGCACATGGTCTCTATGACAAAGGGTTAATAAAATATATATAGTTTTTGATATTAGTGCCAACCTACCTTGTCAAGAATTTGACACTATTTGGCATGTCTTTGGTAAAATGTGAAATAGATGTTCTTCGACCATTTCGTACAAAGAGTAGCAAAGAATTCAACAACAGAATTAAGTAGAAAAGATAATCACCATTCACGAGTTCGTCTTTATCTTTTCAATAAACCAGTCCAGTTGTCTAATGACCCATTTAAGCAGGCGTCTTAACGACATATCTAAATACGTGACATAATGACCCATCTAAACAAGTAACATAATAATCTATCTAAACACGTGACGTAATGATATACCTAAACACGTGAAACAATGAACTATCTAAACAAGTGACATAATGACATACCTAAACACGTGACATAATGACCTATCTAAACGTGTGACATAATGACTTTTCTAAACAAGTGACATAATAACCTATCTAAACAAGTGACATATCTAAACAAATGACTAAACAAATAACATACCAAAATACGTGACATAATGATCTATGTAAGCAAGTGACATAATGACACACCTAAACACGTGACATAATGACATATCTAAACAAATGACACAATAACATACCTAAATACGTGACACAGTGACCTATCTAAGCAGGCGACATAATGACATAATAACATACCTAAACACGTGACATAATGACCTATCTAAACAAGTGGCACAATGACCTATTCAAACAAGTGATAACATAGCATATCTAAACCTGTAATCATTACAAAATGCACTTACCACTCTTCTGTTTTATATTTAAATACATTGTGGCAAAATAGTCAAAATATTGTTGTTATTATTAGTAGTATTCGTATTTTTACGACATGTACGTATACACACACACACACACATACATTTGCACATACTTCTATTTACCTCCTAACATTACTAAGGATAAAGTAAGTAAACAAAAAGTAATGTATGTATGTGGGATTCATGTTTTGAAAGTTAAACATACAGTAAAATTCACTGGCTAAACAGAAGTCACTCCTGTTGATTGTTTCCCTATTTATTGGTTCCTTTTAACTTCAGGTCATAAAATTCCAACTAGTAACCTTAATAAAGATATCAGTTTTGCTGGCTAACATTACCCGCAGATAGCAAAGTGGTTGTGCCTTACATACACAGATGGAGCTGAGTTCTACTTTCTCATCTCAATAACTTTTTTTATTCTACTCATCTTGAGGTGGAACAGTGAAAGCCATTTTAAAAGTGTGTCGTAAATTTCACGGTTGTCGAAGGAAGTACAAAGCCTTTCAGGTTGTGCTAAACGAAACAGCAGCAGTAACAGAGAAACAAATCTCTCAAGGGACCGGCAAGGGAGAAGGGGGGATTGAATTCAAATAACTTTTAAGGAATGAATTCAAATAACTTTTAAGGAATTTGAGGTACCATAGGTTTGACACCCATAGTAACGCTTATCGTCCGTCTCCCCAAGATGTTAAAAAAGTTTTATTAAAGAAAAGAACCCTGCTTGGAGTTATGGGCTGACACAACGTCTCCAGTGTTGTGTTGGCCTCTGTTGTAACGGAGCTTGAAAGAGCAATGAGTTGACGCTCTATATAAAATGTAGATTATTTGTAGCACTTTTCAACTGAGAAAGAAAGAAGGGAGAGAAGTCTGACAATTTGAGTATAGGACGCAATAAATTACTTTATAAATGCTTGTGTCAGTTTTAGATCAGTTAGCGAATGTTATAAATTTTAGCTTTTGTACCTTCTACATAACGCTTTTACACAGTCTGAAAACAAGTACATTTAAGTATAATATTCTAACGTTACAATGATCATTATGTCTACCGTAAAGTATGATACACTAACGCTATGATGGTCAGAGTTTTCTCCATAAAGTACAATATTTTTAGATCGTAAAATTAAATAATTTAATTTGATCTCTGAGAAAAAAAAATTAATATATACACAGGTTGGCATTTGTGAAGAAACTTGTATAAGGGTTTTCACGCGATAATATGACCCGAATTTACCTTTTATTGAGATTAATGAATTTGTTTATGTCAGAGCAAAGCCACAATATGCTGTTTGGTGAGTTCATCGAGGGGAATTGATCCTCTGATTTTAAAGTTGTAAGTTCATAGATTTACTGTTGTCCCATCGAAACGCAGACTTGTTGACAATGTATATATAATAATAAAAGGGCGTGTCTGTGTGTGTTTGACCGCCATAACTCAAAAGGGAAGAACCTAGAAACCTTAGCACACATACTAAGTGGACCTTGAGGGTGTGCACCTAGGTATTATTATTTATCCAGGTGCGTGTGCGCATGCACATCTTTTTAATCAGGCAAGCTAGCTAGAAACCACATAGAAAAGAAGTTGTTTCATTATATCCCAAATAAAAATCACAAACAGACATGTACGTGTGTGCGTACGCGCGCGTATGTTCATTTATGTGTAACTGCCATAGCTCCAAGAGGAAAGAACCTAGAAACCTGAAATTTTGCACTTATACTAAGTGGATCCTGGGGGTTTACACCTGGGTATTATTACTTATCTACGTGCGAACGCTCATGCGCGTGCGCATCTTTTTATGCGAAAAACCACATAGAAAAGAAATGTGATAGCTATAGCTCCAAGAGGAAAGAACCTAGAAACCTGAAATTATGCACCATACTAAGTGGACCCTGAGGGTGTACACCTAAGTATTGTCACTTATCCACTTGCTTGCGCGCAGGCACGTGCGCATCTTTTTAACGGGACAAGCTAGCGAAAAAACACGTAGAAAAGAATTGGTTTCTTATATTATACATTATAGATATAAATCACAGACAGACAGACAGACACGCACGTGCGTGCGTGCGCATCTTTTTAATGAGGCAAGATAGCGAAAAACCACATAGAAAGAAGTGTTTTTTTAATATAACAACTTTTAATATATAGTAAAGCCAGTTCGTTTTGGTAACAATGCATTCCAACAAAGGCTTTTATATCATGTTGCTTAGCAATAAAAGTATAACCTAATATTGTTGTTAAGAGGCTATGTGTTGAAAGTATATAATGAAATGTATAAACTATGAAATTGAAAAAAAATATTTGCTGTTTTCTAATTCAGAGACTCCGTTAATTAAAGAGGTTTGTTTTTATTATGTGATTTTATTATTTAAGTTTAAAATCGGAAAACAAGTCAGAGGGGGGTTACCTTTATAAATGGGCCACATCCGTAAAGGAGCAACAAAAGTATATAAGTTATACTTTTATGCTAAAATGGGTTGAGAATACACACTCTGTTTGTTTGAAGTTAAGCACAAAGCTACACAATGAGCTATCTGTGCTCTGCCCACCACTGGTATCGAAACCCGGTTTCTAGCGTTGTAAGTCTGCAGACATACCGCTGTGCCACTGGGGGGCTACACACATTGACATAGTCAGCTAGACTAAATCAACCTAATAACCCGAGTGAAGGAGGGCACTTTCGCTAGTATATACTGTATATATAATTGCTATCTTTTGTTGATCATAAATATTGTTCAAATCATGTGATTTTAACAATGTAAAGTGTTTAAGAAATCCATGCTATGTATGTTCTAGGTACTCTCCTATTTACGTTCTATTTTACCGCATAATTCAAATGTATTCTAATTATGATATTTGTAAGATAACACTCCTGAAGAAACTGTGGAACGAAATGTCGAGTTATAACAAAAATTATATTATGGAGAAAGATATCGTGTTGTATTAATTTTAAAAGTAATTTCAGCATGCGTTTGAAAAAATAATTATTATTGTCATAAGACATTAGTATTAGACCTATTAGATTTTTCAACACTACATTCTTTAGCTTGTCCCTTATAGATTTTCAAGAATTAGGAGAGCGTGTAATAATAATATTTTAACCACATTATATTCATTGTATCTATTGCTGATAACGAGTTTTGCTCAATCCATAGCTTCAGGCCGGATGTGATACAACAAACACAGCATTGGTTGGAATACTATTTATAAAAGCCATATGATACAACAACGATTGTGATAACTTTTCACCGGCTTATAAAAGGCGTACATGCTATGACAATTAGCATTTGAAAATAGTAAGCATACAGAAATACTATTATAATAATAATTTTGAAATAAACAGCTTATATAAATAGTGTTCCAACCATCACTAAGGGACTAGATAAGTCTAACAGTATTATCTCATGAGAAGTATAATTAAGAATACTATTTTCCATTAAGTGATTACTTTTAAATCGTATTATTCGTTAAATAAAGAAAACTAATATAAAATTTCAATGTTTCAGCTACTTATCCTTAACGTGTTATATTGATATTTTTATTATTAAATGGCTGAGGCCTTCAAATCAAATTACATAAACGAACTATTAATAACCATCCA